GGGCAGGCCAGTCGGGTGTTCTAGTGCCTTGGGATGTGACTGCGGTTGCAGCCCCTGGGCTTCATAGGCACCTTCCCTCCACTAGCGACTTGGGCATTAACAGTAAATTAAAATGTTTCAGATTCCACATGTGCCATGATACAATGTATCGTCACTGGACACAATAGCCTCGTGAGATGCATCTTGGAAGCATCTTGAAAACCTGAGCACCTGTGAAAAAATCTTCTTCAAGGTCAGGTCATCTTCAGTAGGAACCCAGTTGTTCAAAGCATGGATAACACTAGCCAACTGTAATCCAAACAGAGCTTTAACCGTAGACAACCGACTTGTTCTATTTTGCATCACATTATTGGTATTGATGTGCCTCCTGCTTCTTCAACAGAGTTTAATGAAAAGAATGAGAGACATGTCCCTTTAGAACAATGACATACAAAATAATGAGATGTAAATGGATGCCCATTACTGACATGTAAGTATTAACTGATGTGAAGATTGTTTCCATGCATTCATGTGTAGACATACATACAGATCTGTAATGCCTTTTACATGACACATACCTGAGAAATAGTCTTGAATCCAGAGTGAACTTTCATTTCTTTCTGTAAACAAACATGAGAACAAACATTAAGGTCAAACAGTACCTTGAGAGTGCTACTTTTGTTAAATTTTTCTTTCTAAGCAAAACAAAGAGGTCGCTATAAAATTTAACATTTCCCCAAAAATGGATCCAAAGTAGAATCTTAAAATGCATGCGAGTTATTTCATTGGCTGTCAGGATATTCTGTTGACATACATTGGAGTAAAGTAATGACCTGTTTACAACTATTCAAACGGCAAAAACTTGCAATAATTTTTCACGAGAATACCATCTCTTTAAATGAAGTAATAGGGTATGTAGCTAAATTGGCAGATTTTCATGATATTTGGCCAGACTGTTCCTTAACAATTGAGGAACAAAAGCGTCCCAGGGATTTTTATATCAAGGATATTTCTCTTGTGACAGCCACAATGCAAAAGGATCAGCAGATTATTTCATGCTATAACTTTATGGGTCTATAAAAAAGATAACCAATAAGAATACAAGAAAACCCTACGAAAATGTTGGGCTTTCTTGAAAGCCCCACCTTCTATTCCATGGCTTTGGCATAGATTGGTTGAATTAAATTTTATTTAAGAGACCCTATTGCTTTTTAAAAACTACTGTATTACCGCTAAATTAATTGCTTCATATAAATTACAAACCTTTAGGTTGTCTTCTGCCTCAGCAATCCTTTCTTGTAGTGTTGCCAGGCCTGGTGCATCAGTTCCCTCTGCTGAATTCCCTGAAAAAAAAATGGGATTCAATAATTTCAAGATGACATTGAAAATGCAAGAATTGGTAAACTTGTAAGGAGCCAGAAAACTAAAAGCATTACATGTGGTACTATCATGTGATTTACAAATTAACCTTGCATTGAAGTAATCGTATGTTAGTCCAGCCACAGTTATTTGTACTCATTCCAAATTGAGTTCTAAGGCAAGACAATTTACTGTCAGTGATTTATTTCTAAAGAGAGGAAGCCACATCAGGCTTTTCATGCAGGTCCTCTATCCTGGTTGGAGATGTTGGTTTTTGTGGAGGGAGGAAAACTGGAGAACCTAGAGAAAAACCCTCAGCAAGGCTGTGGTCTAAGGAAAATTAAAAGGAGCCCAAAGGTTCGTAACCATGAAATCCTGGGTGCCCAGCACTTAAGCTTATGAAAAAAGTAAGTTTTTCCAGTCACCCAAATGCAAAAGTTAGTCGCCTTCAGGACACAGGCACCTCTTGAGCACAGCCCTGCTCAGTGTACAATTCATGTAAGGCTAGATCCAACAACAAACTTAACCCACTTATAAAAACTAGGGTATCTAAAAGATAGTAATGCTGCGGCACATTCTGTTGATAGTGACATATTTAACGCCGTGATTCATCTATCTGCGCGTTTCAAGAC